AAAAAAAGAAAAAAAAAAAACAAGCACGCAGCCATCTTTATAATTCTGTCTTTGAACTTGAACTTGAACTGTTACTGCGGTGACTACAGCATCACGGTTGAAGAGTAATCAGCTGGTGGTGAAGTAGATTCACTTATTGTAGAGTTAACGAAAGTTATTTAATATTCGAGGCAGATGTCATAACAAATGTCAGTAGATTTTAAAACGAGCGGTTCATTCACAAATTTGTACGCCTTTACTTTTACGCTGTGGAAATACTAACAGAAGACAGAAGACGACGAGTGCAGCGCTGAAAAGGGGCGGAGCTACATGAGGTCTATAGGCTACAGTCTAATATGTGCTACAGCTATAGCCTTGCTGACAGATAACTGTATACTTATGATGGACGCCATTTGCAAAGCACAAAGGGAGCAAGTGTTGACTGCATCACACTCAGATGCTTCCAATTGGCCCTGTCACGGCCATCTGCCTCCCACAGTTAAAGCAGGAGCTTATATCATTCCTGTGCCGCTTTCAGCATCCAGTCGTATTCACAGGCCCTCACAGCGGAGCTTACAGACAGCGCGAGGCTGCAAGAAGCTAAATATAGTTTTAGCAGCAACATTGCCAGAAATAGTGTCTGAAAAGCAGCTCAGTCCTCCAGTGAAGAACACGAGGCCTGAAGACTCTTGATCCGAGAGTTTGGGGTTTATGCTACCATTCAATACCAAATCCGAAATGTTTATTAAAACATTTATAAGCTCACCTTTTTATAACCTCTTGTTCCTCCATTTCAAAGAGGTTTTAATTATAGTCAAAACCAGTCTGGTTCAAGACTGAGGCCACATGTTCCTGAGTTCTTTAAAAGACCAAGACCATGAAAATAGGGTCTTGGAGTCAGTCTCCATATTTTCATGAACTCAGGAGCATGTGGAGTCAGATTCCATCCTGTTCTGGTCTCGGCACTGATTCAAACACATCTCGACTACAACACTCTCATTCACATCCGAATCTGAAAGTTCAAAACATTGCTTGTTAAATTGAATGAACTCTCTGTAACAACATTGTATCTCTGTCCTTTTTTCCTTCCTCTGTGTTGTTTCTCTTGTCAGAACATGACGCATTTGATCTCTGGAACGCGGAGAAGGAAGGAGAAGACAGGAGGAGAGAGGAGAGGCTGTGGAATGTGAGGAATTCCAAACGGAACCCTGTTTAAGGAAATGAACAATGCAGTAGACACTAGTAGAGTCGGACCTGTTTCCTGAGAGAGGAGAAAAGAAAGTGATGAAGGCCAGACCGCATGCATCTCAGGTTCCTCGTTTCAGTTCTGTTAGGCTTGGCATTAAAGGAATTAGCTGTGACGTGCCAAACACTGATCTGCTCCAAAATGAAGTACAAACAAACAATGTCATTTTGTACTTCAGTCCTTAGATCATACCAATATTGCCAACCACAGCTCTTGACGACAGAAAGGCAAAGCAGGTCAAAACAAAGCAGGTTTAACCCAAGAGTATCTATGGGGATCTATAGCCATTAGCACACAGGGCCTGAATAAGATTTGCCATCCTTACTCTCTACTGTCACTAAAAGTACCAGTATATGGTACCATGTCGATACTAACATGAAAAGTAACAATAGCAGTGGAGGTTTTAAGCTGAAGCGAGAGGATGAACAGCCAGCTACAGGTGCCACAGGCGGGGAGTTTCCGCGTACACTTCAGTGATTCACGTGTAAATGACCTGCTGTTTCATTCCATCTCCAAAACAATGACAAAAATGTGTTACTCTTGCCTCCTTTCTCTGTCAGCCTCTCACACCCTCACAGTTTCTCACGTTCAGCTTGGAAGTGAGAAACTTTCAGACTCTCATGATCTAAAATGTAAGCAATATATTGAATATTATTTACTAGATATTTGTAAATTTTTAATTTTTGAAAAAATTTTTTGGTAATATAAAACATTGTGAATATCGCAATTTATTTTCCTTTATTTGACCATCATTTTGCGACCTATGATAGTGAGAGTATTTTAAAGGCACAATACCGACAACTCCCATGATTCCACACTCAGTCACGGCGACATCAAACTATGCCTTTATCTATTTGTATATTTTGAATACGCGCCCTCTAGCAGCGAAAATGACATATTGTGCCTTTAACATCTTGGCTATTTTAATTTCAATTTTAGTAGCAAAAATGGTTCAAACTGTTGATTCAAATAATCACTTTGTTGGCACCATCACTCAAAAATGTTCACAGAAGTGTCACAATTTACATGTAAAAAAAAACATTCCTGGATTATTTTTAGCTAGAGTTTTATGTATTTTACTTCTTGCATTAAACATTTTAAAAACTGTACTTTTAAATTGCTACAGTAGTTTGGTTGAAATGATTGTTCCTCCAATATATACACTACTGTTCAAAAGTTTGGGGTCGGTAAGATTTTAATGTTTTTTAAAAAAATCTCTTATGCTCATCAAGACTGCATTTATTTGATCAAACAATAAAACTGTGAAATATTATTACCATTTAACATAACTGTTTTCTATGTGAATATATGTTAAAATGTAATTTATTTCTGTGATCAAAGCTGTATTTTCAGCATCATTATTCCAGTCTTCAGTGTCACGTGATCTTCAGAAATCATTCTAATATGCTGATTTGCTGCTCAAGAAATGTTTCTGATTATTATCAATGTTGAAAACAGTTGTGCTGCTTCATATTTTTTAGAAAACTGTGATATATATATATTTTTTTTCAGCAATATTTCATGAAAGTTGATAGAAAGGTCAAAAGAACAGCATTTATATAAAATATAAGTGTGTTTACGGTCACTTTTGATCAATTGAATGCATCCTTGCTGAATAGAAGTATTAATTTATTTCAGAAAAAAAAAAAAAAAATCATACCTACCCCAAACTTTTGAATGGGTAGTGCATACATACATTTTTATATTTTTAAACCCATTTCAGAGCAAATATATACCTCACCATCCCAGTGCCAGGAGATCTTAGAAAATCAATAAACACAGGTTGATGGCCATTGAGTTCTGACTGTGAGAAAATGCCCGAGCCAAACAATAATGAAGGGAGAGGACAGGTTCCTCCAGGATGAAACCGCTGAAACCCTTGATGACCTCACTGTGAGTCATCTTTGTCTTCAGATCCTGTAGAAGATCCTGAACGGCCTCTTGATCAACAGTGAAGCTCAACAACCATGCACAGAGTGAGTGAGTGAGTGAGTACACACACACAACACGTCCGATGCAGATGTATACTGACCAGCAATTAAATAATAGCATGGACCCTGCTGCATGGGCCGCCCATCCCTACCCAAATACCTCAAAGCTCATCCCAGCGCCCGCACATACCTGCAGCGGCAGCAGCGTGTTGCTGTTGTTGTCGGTACGGTACATGTTTTCTTCGATCCAGGATTTAGGTCCCAGAGAGCCGGCGGAGCGGGGAAACTTGGGCGGGGCGATGACGTTGCTGGAGAAGGGTTTCTTCATGGGAGAGATCTGGTTGACCGAGCCGGGCACACCCATGCCGCCCCCGCGCCGATGGTCTCTGCCCCAGGACACCCCTCCAGAGGGCCAGCCGCTGCCCTGATGGCTGCCCCACGGCGACTGCTTCATCATGGGCTACAGACAGATGGAAAGTATAGTCAGGTACAAAACAAAAAGTACTTTTACACAAGTACACTTTTCAAATCAGCAATAAAATCTGACATGAATGAGTGGTATCATAAATGTTTCTTTCCCTCAAATTACGTTAATAAGCTGTATATTTCAGGTTGATATACCGTAGACAGTAAGCATGTGGTGTTGGAGAAAGAGCATTTTATTGAACAAAAATCTGCCTAGTTAAGTGCGAAGTTGTGCTTAATTGTATTGAGCGTGCACTTTATTGCATAAATGTGTTAAAGGTTAATTTCATCATCTATTTGGAGTACACTAGCATACAGATTACCTCAATGCTAACAGAAACTAAAAGCTACAAATATAACCTGTGTGTGGGAATCTGAATGAGACTGACTGGCGTAATCGCCCGTATGCCTGTGTGTGTTGCTTTGAACGTGGCCAGGCTTTGCCTTGCTGTACAAGTAAGAAGATTTAAAGCTTTACATCTTATACTCCACATCTCGTGAACACAGTGGCAACAACACACACTCTCTTGATCCTAGAACATTAGGCAAAAACACACAAAGCGTACAGTGACGAACAGACAAACACATTTTCAGTATCAGCATGTGTTGTCACTGCATTGTGTGCACAACTCTCCCCAAATAAGTTTCGCACCCATCTCCGTAATGTCTTTGTGTGTAATTGGGTAATGGCCTGCGTGTGTGTGTGTGTGTGTGTATGTGACTGTGCACACATAGAATCTGGTTGAGTGTTTAAGGGATAGTGAGAGATAATTACCGTTGATGGCGTCTAGACACTGGAGAGATGGTGTAGAGTACTATGTGGCAAGAAGTAAACCACATACAGTGGGTATAGAAAAGAGTCACCCCCCTTTAAAATAATCACATTGTGTTGCTTTTCAGCCTGAAATGAAGACGGACTCAGTTTTTGTTTTATACAGCTGTATTTACTATGTCAGAAAAAAATAAAATAAATAAATAAATAAAAAAACAGAATCACTGAGTTGTAAAAAGGATCACCCCCTCCTAAAAATTACTTGTAAACTCAATCAGGTGTAGCTCATCATCTTCTCAATGGCACACAGAGCCATCTGACTTTCAACTACGATCAGCTGTGCTCATTTTGATCACTTTGAAGAGCTTTCCTGCAGCATTTCAGTCCTTGGTAGTGCAACTGAAGCAAACAATCAGCTATGGGTGACAAGGCACTGTCAGAAGATCTCTGGGATATAGTTGTGGACAGGCACAAGTCAGGAGATGGAGACAAAAACATCTAAAAGGCTTTATCAATGCTTAATTAATTAATTTAATTAATACAGAAATCATTAATTGTCTTTGATTTAGACAATTAAAGAAGTCTCTTATGCTCACTAAGGCTGACTTTATTTGATCAAATGTACAGTAAAAACAGTAATATTGTCAAATATTATTACATTTTCAAATAGCTGTTTTCTATGTGAATATCTGTTAAAATGTAATTTATTTCTGTGATCAAAGCTGAATTTTCAGCATCATTACTCCAGTCTTCAGTGTCACATGATCCTTCAGAAATCATTCTCATATACTGATTTGATGCTCAAGAAACATTTCTGATTATTATCACTGTTGAAAACAGTGGTGCTGCTTCATATTTTTTGTGCATTCCTTTTCAGGATTCTTTAACCAATAGAACAGCATTTATTTTGAAACAGAATTCTTCTGTAACATTGCAAATGTCTTTACTGTCACATTTGATCAATTTAAGGCATCCTTACTAAAAGTATGAATTTCTTTGAAAAAATAAAAATAAAAAATCTTACCACAATGATAACATACATTTTCCGTAACTCATAGTGTGATATAAGATCATGGTCATACCTCTCACACCTACCACACACACACACACACGATTCTGGACACCTGAATGAAGGGTGTCTTCAGCTTAGCCCTAATATCATGCTAAAAGACATTCACTCTTAACAGCTGTTACACCAGCATGACTTCACATGTAGGAATATCACTGTGACATATAGGGCCACTCCTAAAATCATGTGACCGTCCCCCCTCCGCCTCTACCCCACCCCCACAAGACCAGACACACACACAGACACTGAGGCCTACCATAATTCACCACCACCAGATACGAAGATATTGCCTCTGTAACATCAAATACACTAGGTTCTGCACAATGCATATCACTCATAATGCATCTAGAACACTTCACTGTATGTGAGAAACAGACGCTAGACTGATTCAGATCAGTACCTTGTGTTTTGAGTCGATTCATCGAAAAAAAAACTGGCTAATAAGAGTCATTTATTTGTAAATCTGATTATATTGCGTGTTTGCTGTTGCTTGCCAGGGAAGACAACGCAATAAAAAAGCATTCTGTGTATTTGCTGTTTTTATTTATTTATTTTTGCAGCACCTCATCTTATATCAAGTTCAAATCAGACTGCAAACGCACAACATTGATCTAATAAATTATAATTTATTTTGTGCTAGTGTAGATTCGGTAGCTATGCAATGAACACTGTTATACATTTTTAAATATGCAAATATAATATCAAAGAAATGCTGAAAAGCAAAGGAATAGCATTCACCAAAATGGCCACCATGCCATATTAGTGAAATGCCTGTGCAAACTGCAGATTACAGTAATAACAGCTTTTTCTAAAACTGCTGCAGTTTAGCAGGGTGTTGACATCTCCGGCCTCTAAGCCCTCAATAGGAGATTTCACTGAATGCCCTAGAGGTCAAGACATCCCTGGAATGTCACGTGAAGCCCTTGAACGATATTACCACGGCCCGTGTCCGCTTTCAGAAACAAACATGGCTGTGTGGAAAAACATACTACTATTTTCTGCACTATGCGGTGTGAACGCAGATAACCAGCTACATTTGCGCAAAACTGTTTCGTATAATAACCAGTGCAAGCTGTTCAGAATACCGTATCCCACAATGCACTGAACTCGATCTGAGTGCATTTCCACTGACTTCTCTTTCTTGACTCACCAATTGATTGTACTACCACAAGTTATGACACAACACCAAATTGCATTAAAAAGCACCAAAATTATGAGATTACAACTGCCATTCACAATGTTTCATGTATGATGCTACAAATTTGAAACATTTACTGTTGCATAATGCATACTGTTGTCACATACTGGTGTTAATATGATTTTTGGACAGACTTTTCCTATGCTTACTAAAGCTGCATTTAATCAAATATATAGAATAACTGTAAATATTATCAGAATATTATTAGAATTTAAAATATTTAAAGGCCGCAACTGCGTCACGATGACAGTCCAACAGCCGCATTCTACAAAGGCTCCGTATCTGCACTAAGTATGTGCTTATTTTCTCAGTGAACACGTTATATATTGTGTTTGACTGAATGGGTTCTCTCACCTGGTGGTGGTGGTTGTAGTTGTTCCTCTGCTGCAGAAAGGCGCCCTGCTGCGGGGGAATCTGCGGGCTGACCGGGGACCGGCGGCTCTGCGGTGCCTGCGGGGGGACGTTGATCTGGGGGGGAAAGGGGCTGCTGAAGCCCTGCACTGGGCACGGGTTGGCCGAGAAGCTCTGGAAGAAGCCGGGGTTGATTGAGGAGGGGATGCCCGGGTAGTAGTTGTCAGGCTCGGTGGTGGGGATCTGGTTTATTGCGTTAGCGGAATTGGAGACGTGCGGAGGCGGTGAGCTCGTCTGCACGGACCACGGTGTTCCGAAGCCGGGCAGGGTGGGGGAAGCAGAGCCGCCGCCGCCCCCGGGGTTCTGCATCTCCGGGAAAGCGGCCGCGAGCATGTTACTGCCGCCGGTGCCGTTGTTGATGTGGTGGGCGCTCGGAGACTCCATCTGGGTCTTCACCTTGGACGATGGCGCATCGGTGTCCAGGCCCGTGGAGGAGGAGGAGTACGGCTGCTGCTGCGGCGGCTCAGCCTGCTGATGTATGTTTCGGTCGTGCTGAAGGTCACCGGCTGTCTGTGCGTGACCTACAGCGGAGAAACGGCTCAGGTCGTTGTCGGAGGCGCTGCTCTGCTCGCTGGACTGAGAAGCTGTCAACCCCGCAGGCTCATCCTGCATGTTGCGCGGATGTGACGGGAAAAGAGGGGACACCGGAGGCGAGCTGCTGGGGCGCACCGGAGACGGGCTGGAGTAGGGTGTGAACGCACCTCCGCCGAACAGTGCGGCGCTGCTGCTGCTGATGATGTTCGCTGTCTGCAACAAGCCGAACCCGTAATCACCCATTTAATTGCGTCAAAACAGCGCAGCTCTCGTATTCCCAGGCCTGGCCAAGAACAATAAGAGAGGCACTGTGTCCTATAACTTCCTAAAGCCTGTTTGGAGCGAGAGAGGAGGAGCTTTCGGTCGAGTCGGTCTCATTTTTGCATAATGCATGCGCGACCCGCCTCCCTCACAGCCGCAGAGAGAGCCGCAATGTGCGCGTCACATTCATTATTCAGGAGGCGCAGAAGAGCAGACCAGTCCGCCCGGTCTGAATGCTGCTGAGCTTTGACACTGTCGGAAAGATGGCAGCTGCTTGCTCAACTGCTCGTTCGGGTGTCTTCCAGTCTTTTCACCTTTAGCCTTTATAACCTTCCAAGGCCATATGGGTCATGCGTGGCTGTAATAAAATGAAATTATGCACGTTCATATATCAAATTGCTAGTGTTGGGAAGGTTACTTTGGGAATGTAATAGGTTACAGATTACAAGTTACCCTATTTAAAATGCAATAAGTAGTTACTTTTTGATTGCTTTTCTAAATTTCTAACAGATGTTTTAAACTGTTAATCATTTTGAAACATTTAAAGCAGGCAGGGTTACAGTAGTTTTTTGTCATTATTTTTTTAATGATTATTTTACTTTCTTTTATGTAAAGCACTTTGAATTACCATTGTGTACGAAATGTGCTATATAAATACACTTGCCTTGCCTTGATCACTGTCAGACTTTCAAAATCCTTCATTCTTGAATTAAGATTATAAAAATGTAATTTTAAAGCACAGCCACCACAGAATCAGACTTTAGCAGCACTTTTTACTTGAGATCGTTCTGAGGTAAAATACAGATTTAAAATCATAAGATATTGTTTAATAGTTATGATGCTGTTTTTGAAATCAAATCTTTGCATAGCTGTGACAGGAAACACCGGCATCTAACAATGTTGGAAAAAAAAACAGTTAATCTTAAAAAAAATAAAGCATATACATAAACCCAAAATAGGAAATTAAACAGTTATTTAATAAGCATGTATCCTATTCTGTGTCCTGAACTCCTGAAACATTGGTGTCTCATATTTTAGAGGAAAGAAATCAATCAAATCTGAATGTGTGTGAAAATATTCAGATGTAACCCCCTTTGTAATCTTTAACATTTTCATAAGTAACTGTAATTTAATAACACATTTCTTTCTCAGTAACTGTAACAGATTACAGTTACATTTATTTTGTAATTAAATTACATAATTTTGTTACATGTAACTAGTTACTCCCCAACACTGCATATTACACGGCAGATCTTCAGTGCCTGATAAAACATTTGGATTATGTTAGCACATGGCAGTGGAGCATATAGTGTAGTACAGTGCATAGTAGGGAGTGTATTCTATAAAATGTACTATATAATGCTGTTTATAAGTATTTAATAGCCTATTGTACAGTATGAATAGCATATAGTGTGGTATATTCTAATGTACTACATTATGTAATATACAGTCTAGTATGATCTGTGTAGTCCATTATGTACTGCACAGTTGTATATTATTTAATATATTGTGTAGTGTATACTTAATTGTGTTGTGTACACCATGCAGTGTAGTAAATTCTATATAATGTACTATACAGTCTAGATTACACCGTAGTATTCAGTACATAGTATGTAGTGTAGTGTATTCTATATAGCGCACTATGTAGTAAGCAGTTTATTATTTAATGCAATGTACAGTGTATACTTAACAGTGTAGTATATTCTATAGAATGTACTAAACAGTGTAGATTATACTGTAGTATTGAGTACATATTATGTAGTGTAGTATCTTCTCTGTAGTGCACTATACAGAATTCAGTTGTTTATTATTTAATACATTGTATAGTGTATACTTAACAGTGTAGTATATTCTATAGAATGTAGTATACAATCTAGATACTGGATATCTAGTAGTCAGTTCATAGAGTAGTAGGTTGTATAGTATACTGTATTCTATGTATTACACTATATAGTATGCAGTTGTTTATTATTATAGTGTAGTAGTGTATACTATATTGTGTAGTATATTCTATAGAATGTAATATACAATACTATATCAATATGTAGTGTACAATCTAAGTATACTATCTACTGTATTATTCAGTACATAGTATGTAGTGTAGTATATTCTCTGTAGTGCACTATACAGTATGCAGTTGTTTATTATTTAATACATTGTATAGTGTATACTTAACAGTGTAGTATATTCTATACAATGTAGTACACAATCTAGATACTGGATATCTATTAGTCAGTTCATACAGTAGTATAGTATAGTATATTCTGTGTTGTACACTATATAGTATGCAGTTGTTTACTATTATAGTGTAGTAGTGTATACTATATTGTGCAGTATAATATAATATACAATACTATATCAATATGTAGTGTAGTATATTCTATATAGTGCTTTACATAGTATACAGTCATTTATTTTTTATTTAGTATATTCTGTATAGTCTAGATTATTTTAAAGTGTTCAGAATATTGTAGTACAGTGTATAGTGTAGCTTTAATACGTAGTGTAGTGTAGTATATTCTATGTTGTTCATACTGTGATATTTAATATATTAAATAAGGTAAAATACATACATACATCTAGTTCCTAGGTTGTTGTTTAGTGTATATAGTGTACTAGAATTAGTATTTGGTTTATTGTGCAATGTATAAAACAAAGGGTAGTTTATTCTATATAGTGTACTATATGGTATATAGTCTAGAATATTCAGTATACTGTGGTAGTGTGCTATATAGTGTTCAGTCTAGTTCATACTGAAGTATTCCATAGGGTGTGATATAGAATCAAGTCTTGTATACTACCGTATACGGTGTTCTGTAAATTATCCTGTCTAGTGCACACTGAAGAATTAAGTATAGTGTGTGGTCTTTTGTATTTAGTGTAGTATATAGTGAAGTATTCAGTATATACTTTAGTGTAGTACATAGTACGAGTAGAATATTCTATATAGAATATTTCACAGAAACAAAAACATACCAAAAAGCCTTATGCTATTACCGTGTTTGTTTGGACTTTTTGGAAATACCATGGCAACATGTAAACCTCATGAGAACCTGTTTTGTGTAATCATTCAGTACCATGGTATAATACCACAGTACTCAATCTAATACAATCATTGTACTATGGCATCACCAAGGTACTTTTTTGTAGGAGTATATTGTTATAGCATTTAGTATATATATGTAGTTATAGAAAATGGTGTAGTACATACTGTAGTGTATACTTCAGTATGTACTGCTGTGTATGTAATACGAGTGAACAGAGATAATGACTATGTGATGTGCATCCTCAGTGCGCAGTGACGCTGGGTTCTAAAAATATCTAATTAAAATGCACCCGGGTGTCAAGGAGATGAATTCCTTATGCATGCTTAAACAGCATCCTCATGCTTCTAACGAGGGGACATTATTCTGTCCCTCTAGTCTTTGTCCACCTTTTAAAGCATCTGATCCCCTTTGACAGCTGGTCGTGTTTGTACCTCCCACGTCAAATGTGGCATTTGTTTTAACCACTTATACCCTTCATCCCCCCATTCTCTCTCTCTCTCTCATGATGGGCTCTGATCAATAATGAACGCTTTTACAGGATGTTTATGGAGGGGGCCGGTCTACCACTAATCACAATAATTAATTATGGTTATATTGCCATCAATATAAGCTCAATGGCCAACCAATTCCCTATCATAATTCCCATAAATGTCGTATTCCTCCATTGATTCAATCACACCGCAGCATCACTGAGGACAGATTAATTAATCATACAATCATTGATCTAAGCCCATCAGAGCTTCACCTCCATGCAGCAACTATTGTGACAGTTACAAATTAACCCACACATCACAATTGATCAAAGTCTACTCACTTTTGCCATTTGCATGCCTGTTGTTGCACACAGCATCATTATCCCTCAAGTTTTAAAAGACACATCCTGTAATATGTTAAGAGACTTGACGGGCTTCAATCACTGTGTGTGAGTGTGACATGACAAATGCATGATATGAGAAGAAGATGAAGAAAAGGTTGGTCCAACAGGAGCATGCTGCCTTAATTATGGGCCATTATGGTTGGTGAATGGTGGTTGGAGATGGAATAACCAGGACTAGCTGACAACCTGTAATTGTCCTTTTTGAAATTCACTTTCATCACACATGCACACACTGCTGTGTAGTCACAGAGATGGATGGTTGTGTTTGAATGGGGACACAGATAGATGAGATATGGGAAACAGAGCTAGTCAGGAATGGGATTGTGGGATATGGGGGTAGAGAGTCAGAGATACGGTGAACAGACATTGTACGCAATCTAATTTGCTGATTACCATCGAATATATTTCAACCTACAACTAAATACCAGCTGGCCTTCTATGTGTGTGTGTGTGTGTGTGTGTGTGTGTGTGTGTGTGTGTTTGAGAGAGAATTGTCTGAGAAAACATCCACTAGCAAACTCTTATCTGGGTCCATTTACCCCTTCCCCACCATTTATTTATGTTTTTTTTTTTATTTTTCTGATGATGAATTGCATACAGTGTATACTAAAATCAAGGAATATTCCAGGTCAAATATAAACTCTATGGACAGCATATATGGCCTGCTGTTTTTTACCACGGAAAATCATTTCCCAGGTAACACACATACAACACAAAACATTAAAAAAGCAGTTTTACATGCATTCTAAATCATAAACATCTTAAAGAGATTTTCTAATGGTCTCTTAAACTTCTGATAGGAAATGTATTGATTCAAGACTAAACTAGACTTTAGTGGTGTTTGCTGTTCAGAGTGATGTAGCGTGTATGTGCTTGCTAGCACTGGTATTCTGGTCTAGATTTGGTTCAAGGCCCTTATTATTGATTTTTTTTTAAAACCTGTTTTATTGTTTGTCAAGTTCCTACCTTAAAAAAGCAACAGCACGCTTCTCCTATATCCACCTTATTTTTAACATAAGAAGAGATAATGACCCTGCGATGTGCATCCTCAGTGAGCAGTGACGCTGGATTCTAAAAATATCTCATTAAAATGCACCCGGGTGTCAAGGAGATTAATTCCTTATGCATGCTTAAACAGCATCCTCATGCTTCTAACGAGGGGACATTATTCTGTCCCTCTAGTCTTTGTCCACCTTTTAAAGCATCTGATCCCCTTTGACAGCTGGTCGTGTTTGTACCTCCCACGTCAAATGTGGCATTTGTTTTAACCACTTATACCCTTCATCCCCCCATTCTCTCTCTCTCTCTCATGATGGGCTCTGATCAATAATGAACGCTTTTACAGGATGTTTATGGAGGGGGCCGGTC